ACGGCCATGACATTCATTATGTCTCGGGGTGGTGAGCATGTTTTATTTCTTTTGACTAACTATAGCACTAACACTGTAACTGCTAACAACTTAATACATTTGTTATTGGTTAAGGAGTAACCGTGACTTAATCTTTAAATTAATACCTGGAAAAAGGCCCAATTTAAAGTTACTGGATGTAACAGCTGGCATGTTTGTAACATTAACCCAAACATTAAATGCACAGCCACAGTTTAGGTCAGTCTGGCAGTTGTTCTAAGTCCAGTTGCTGGTGGTGCCAGCCCTGGTAATCATGGAGTTATAACCAGTCATAAGCACCCCCTGGACAAAGCAGAGCTCTGATGCTGGAGAGAATCCATCCCGAGAGATCTCTTGTGGTCTAAAATAACATCAGTGTATGAAACCCTGCAGCTCACTGCGATGGAGAAACAGGGCTTGGTCAGGGGGTCACCAGGTATTGGTTAAGAAGGAGAGGGCTTTAGAGCCAGCTCCCACCTTGAGCAGGAAGATGGAATTGGGAGCTGTCATTTTCCAGCACTGACTGAGAAGAGGGCAAAGGAAACAGTCAGCTTAAAACAAGTCTACAGCCAAAGAATCCTTCATTGTCTTCATTCCAAAGATAAGAAAAGGCAGAAAAAATCACTTTCCCTGCCCTCAATCCACGGGTTACAGTTAGATTAGATTTAAGGGTCATGGAAACCAAGAAGACCTCACTCACTCATCCCAAAGTATTCATGCATTGTGCTAATGGACAGATTCCTCCTTTAGCTGCACACCTAGCTCTGCCCTGCAGAATTTAATGTATTGCCATGGACACAGCAGGCAAATCAGGCTCCATAGTGGGCTTCTCAGGGCTTCTCAGTCCCAAATGAAGCATCAAAGTGAGTGGTTCTTCTCTGAGATGTCCAGCTTCCACAGAGCAATCCTCAGTTGGCTAATAAAAAAGAGAAGAGTTTTGACAACAGAGCATTTTGTAGGCCCAGCCCCATTTCTCTGTTCTATGAGTCATTGGCTGTGGTAGTGGTCTAGCTCTTGCTCTAAGTGGCCAAGCTCCTCTCATCACAGTCTCTAGACTCAGCAGTTGTACAACTGGCAGCCTTTCTGCCACACACGAGACACACTGAGCAAACAGACAGTGTGCTTATAAGGGCAGAAAGTGATCATGATTCTCAAAGCCTTGGATACAGACCTCTGGGGAGCTGTGACAAGCCAACAGATTTAGACAGGCTAGCTGTGGACCATTACTTCAGGACCAGACATCTTTAACTGCTCATCTGTACCACTGAACCTTGAAATTATGCAGCCCGCAGATGGAAATGAACCGTAATTAGTTTCTCTTCCCTCCTTTAGATCTTTTACATTCCAGTTGTGTTTGTGAGTAGACATGACCAAAAACAAATACACTTTCTCATAGCAAAGGTCAAGCCCTGATATATAGGAGGGCATCTTCCATGTTAATCTCTGTTACTTTTTCTATACCCTTTAACATTATTACTTTGAAGGACACGAAGAAACTCTAGCTAGACAAATATGCAAATGGGCACTGAGTGTCATGACAGAAATTGGACAAACAACTTGGTTAAATGGATGATCTGGTTCAATAGGTCAAATCCAGTTTCAACAAGAAGCCTTTCTCCACTCCACTCCCCTTTCTTCTCCCCATTCACGCCAGGGCACAGCTCTTGAGCAAAGCACACCTCTTGGAGAACAGACATTATCACACCAGGCCTAGAGCCTACATTTTCCTCTTTCATACATGCATATTAGGCATCATTACATTCTTGAGGAACTCACTGAACACTACTTCGTGAACTTTTCAATTCACCACCTAGACCAAGGGTGTTAAACATATAGCCCTCAGGCTAGATTCAGCTCACAGAGGGGGACCAAAGGAGAGCCATAGCAGCACCACAGGGAGAAGCCCAGCATCATGGGCACTTTGCTACTACCTTGGGAACAAGCCATTGCATTGCTGTGGCTCCAGTGCCACACATCTCACACCAGTGCTTGTTCCAGCAGCAGCAACCAAGTGCCTGGGATGCCTGGCTTCTTCCTGCTGGGTCTCAAATGGCCGGAGCAGGAGCCACGTGCACTAGATCTGGCACTGGGGGCAGTCCATAGGCAATATCTGGCCTGTGGGGCTGGCCCCTTGCCATACAACTTGCCTATGGACCAATCATGCACCACTCATCCAGCTTGCAAGGCCAAATAAGTTGGACACCCTTGAGCTAGACTGTGGCTGTAGAGTGGACACATGATGGGTCTGCTGTGTAGATTCATGTTTCATGTAGAGAAATTATAATTGTGTTTATGAAACCTGAAATCTATGCTTGTACAAACACAAGGAAGACACATGCCTTCTAGGAGACTAGCAAGAAATCAAATGATATGAAAAGAGAACAACTAACTCTTTGTGAGTTTATTTATGAATTGAACCTAACTGCAATCTTGAAGGACTTCTGCAAAAGCATGTTAGGAAAAGAAAAAGTGCTGTAGAAAAAATAATTGGAACACTTCAAAATAGCTTTAGAAAGAGTTGTCAAGGCCAACTGGAAAAAGGAATATCCTTTAAAAACTATATACGTGACTTGTAGAAAGTGACTTAATGCTAGGTAGTAGGAAATGGGATTTTTAGACCAGCCGAATACAGGACAGAGGTATAACACCTTGGTTAGAGTTGAAGATTGTTACTTGCACATCTACCACCTTGGTTTTCAGCTTTAGCTTGCAGTTTCTATGCCAATTTGTTGTTCATCTGACAAATAGAATATTAATGAGAAATAAAGAAATTAATTAATTAATAAGAAATAAGCTAAGACACTTTATCCAAACCTTCATGAATGCTGCTGCTGCTGCACACAAAAATCTCTCAGGGCTACATATATGTGGTGACTGCATGTTTTACTCCTGTTTTAGTGATTTAGCTATGAAAAGAGTATTTTGTGGTCAGAACAGTTTGGAGGTGGGGTGTTAGCAGTTAAGTTTTTCTAAAATTTTCCTTAAACTTGCTAGGCTAAGGGAAATATGCAAAAATGTGCCTGCCTGACACACGGATATTTTCATGTGGCTGGTCATCAGTTGCCATATATGCCCGCTCCCCAAAACTGGGGGCTGTGCCCTTGTGCTAATTAGAAGGAGTGGGACTTCAAGCTCTTGCAATTTGGTGCTGCAACAGCTAGGGAGTATCCGCTTTCCACAGCACGTTCCTGCAGCTCTTAAGGATATCTGGTGGAGATCTGGGCAGTCTACCAGCATTGGCTACCAGAAATTGCCTGCCCGTATGTCTGAAAAGGAAGGGAGTACCATATAGAAAAGGAAGTCAGCCTGGCTTTTGCAAGAGTCACATTTCCAGGAGTGATGACAAGACACTATTAACTACATAGGTATTTTTTTCCTGAAATGATTGGGGAGGTTTGAATTTCCCATACCCCTCCCCCTCCTGAAGGAGTATTTAATTAGAAACCCTGTGCAGTGCAGTTTTCTCAATCATCTACTTGGTTGATGTTACCACAGGCGATAATAAAATAACCCTTGTTCACTTGAAAGCCTGTTGAAATTTGAATAAGTCTCCATTGACTTGAACTATGACCTAATCAGGGACCTACATCATAGCTACCATTAGCTATGCAAAAACCCCAATGCTAGTCATCAAAATTGTGCCTTTTATTTGTTTCCTGTGATGTACACAGGAAGCCTGAAATATGTTTTTCTACTGTTTTAATTACAATTCTTAAAACTTATATAGTTTGCCTACATTCATCATCATGGCAATATTGGTTAGAGGGACTTTTATTTTTCTTTACTGACACAGCTATGACATCAGAAGTTTAGTAGATGCAGTGTAAATGGGTATGTACAGGTATTGTTTGTGTTACTCCCTGGACCTGTGAAACCATTTTTCAGTGAAAAATATATTCACCCAAAAATGAAGTTGTCATTGGGGGTTGAATCTTACATTTAGTTTGGATGAAAGAAAATGGGAAGGGAAATTTGGAAAAATCAAAATGTTTAGTCTGAATGTTTTTAAAAAAGAGCTTTCATTTCAAAATGTTATTTTTGTTTGAAAATCTGCCTCTTTTTTAAAGAAGAAAATTAAAAATAATGTGGCATAACCTGAAGACTAATTAAAAGGTTTGATTTGGGCTGAACAAATGCCATATTTTCCTTTTGCTTTTTTTTTCCTGAGGAAGTAAAAACTTTTCCATTCCAGATTGATCTGAACTGAAAAAATCATTATTTGTGCAGTTCTAACAGAATAAGTTATGCCAGCATAAGCAGTTTTATGGCCATAGGAACAGCATTTAGCATACTCTTGTGAGGTCCCTGGCTTTCCCCCTACATTACCATCCAAATCCGGCTTAAGAATGCCAGTAGATGGCAGGGCACCTATGGTAAATGTTAGGCTGTACAATGCTAAGCCTAAATCCTCACTATGATAGCCAAGTTCCATATTCAGCTTTAAATTTTACTCCACCCTATAGCACTTCATGTATTGCCATAAATGCCATCAGAACATCAGCTGGCATACTAGACACTGCAATACCAAAAGACATCCTAAACCAGAAGACAGTTTTAGCTTTTCCTGAAGCTTTGGAAATTGTGCATTATTGGAGAGTGGAAATATATCCTTGAGACTGGGGGAGAAAGTCAGTTACAGAGGCAATGTGACTTCTCTAGCTGGCCATAACCCATAAAAGAGTGATGAGGCATCAGGTACTTTAATCCCTAGAATGATTAATTTTCATCTGGGATTTTTCCAGATTCATTCATGCTGTGCACTATCCAGCTCATCCTCCTCTCTAAGCATAAGGGGGAAGGTTCTTCTATTTGAATAGGATAGCCCCCTTCTTAAGGCCATATTCAATTTGATTATACACCCTGTCTACCTCACCCTTCTTTCATGGAATTGTTGGTGGGAGAATTGTGCCTAGAATACTAATTTAACAATAAATAGAAATACTGAATGTTAAATTATTTGCTCTTTAATAGATGACCTCATCATGAATTATTCAAATCCAACATCTTCTCTGAATACATCTGATTATTATGATGACTATTATTATCCTCACAATGCCTCCACCTGCATCATGGGCAAAATTAAGACAGTTACATCTGTAGTTGTCCCAAGCCTTTACATTACAGCCTATTATTTGTGTTGGGCTTGATGGGAAACAGCTTGGTCATTTGGGTCCTAGTAGCTTGCAAGAAACTGACTGACATAACTGATGTGTATTTGCTGAACCTCACCATCTCTGACCTACTGTTTGTTTTCCCCCTGTCCTTTCTGGCTCACTATGCTTCAGGGGAATGTATTTTTGGAAATACAATGTATAAACTAGTATGTGGTAGTTACTATATTGGTTACCATGGCAGCATATTCTTCATAACCCTTATGACCATTGACAGGTACTTGGCCATTGTCCATGCAGTACATGCTCCCCAAGTTCGAACAATCTCATGTGGAATACTTATAAGCCTGGCAATTTGGTCATTGGCCATTTTAATTTCCATGCCAAACCCTATATTCATCAAGGAGGTCACTGATAAAAATGCTACAAAGTGTATGCCTTATTACATCGATAATGATCAACCCTGGAAGCTTTTCACTAAGCTTCAAGTCAGTATTATGGGCCTCTTGATCCCTCTTGGCATTCTCATTTTCTGCTACACCCACATCTTTAAAAACCTGAAGAAAAGCCAGATCCACAACAGGTGTAAACCAATTAAGCTGTTTTTTGTCATTGTCATTGTGTTTTTCCTATTCTGGATGCCCTACAATATTGTGCTTTTCCTGGACACTCTGCGAAGCCTGCACATTATCGATGACTGTGAGACAAGCAAAAAGATAGATGTTGCTCGAGAAGTGACTGAAGCTTTCTCCTTCATCCACTGCTGCCTGTGTGCACGCTTCCTGGATGGGATGAGTGTGTTCTTCCATCCAGGAACAGCGCACACAACAACTGCAGATGCTACCTCAGCCTGACAAAGAGTGTTAAAACCCAAAAGCTTGCTAACTAAAATCTTTCCAACTATTCAAGTTGGTCTAATAAAAGAGATCAGATTCACCCAAAGAACCTTGTCTGCCTTTATTTAATGTTGCATTTGTAGACAGCATTCAAGTCATCAGTTTTATTGTTAGCTATAATTATGATAGATAGATATCTATAATAATATAAATATATTTATATGTATTATGTATATATAAATATATATTTATATACATCTCTCTTATTATAATCAATTAATTGCAAAGAGTTCTCTATATAACTATAATAATTAGATATAATTAATGAATTATAATATATATATAAATATATCCTTCAAGATTGCAGGTGTGTGTGTGCGTGCGTGCGTGCGTGTGTGTGTGTGTGTGTGTATAATTATAGTTAACAATAAAACCAATAACTTGAATACAGTCTACACATGCAACATTAAATAAAAGCAGACAAGGCTCTTTGGGTGAATCTGATATCCTTTTTGCTTAATCATTTATTTTCTGTATATTGTTGTGTATAATAAAGAAACCCATTTGTTTGTTGGACTTAGAGTAAATTCTTGTGCAGTGAGGGTGGGGGATACCTGTCTCCACAGGGCACCTCAGTCAGCAGACCTACCTGAGGGTGTTCCCAGGGCTACTGGCACCCTGGGTATCCAGGTTTTACTTCAGTGCCGCTCCCCCACCCCCTGAGTGTGTCTATCTAGAATTGAATGTGTATAAACTGAGCGTAGAATTGAGCCAACTCAACAAAACCAAAAACTCCTGTCAAGACAAATAAGCATCAAGTCCGGTTATACACTTGTATTTCCATCTGGGGGGAGAAGCTGCATAAAAAGTATAGGCAGAGACAGTGTGGTACCTTCCTGCCAGATAACTGGGCAAAAGTCAGTGGAACAAATAAGAGTCAACTCGGGAATACGTTTGACAGGTTCTTTTCTTCTGGCTTGATGAGACTACTTTCTCTGCCTCACCTGAAATGACTCTAACCGCTTGATTTTTAGAGCAGTATTAAACAGACACTGAAGCAGAACTTGCATGTTCCAGTGCCCTCTTTGTGGTATGTTCTTTTCATAGGGAAGAATGGAATAGCCACGGGTAATGCAACTGAGCACAAGTGAGCCCTGACCAGACCTATCATTCTGTAGCTGCCAATGGCTCCCATAGTTAAATAAACCCAGCTCACTCATGAGCAGGGATCCAAGTTTTCTGTTCAATTTGGGAAAACGTGAATGTCACAGGGGACTAAGGTGCCTGCTACTCGTAGAGCAGAGATTGCCTGGGGAGGGAACACAAAGGGCCAGATAAGAGCCCAGGTGCAGGTTGCCATGGCAACTGGCTAATGAGGGAATTGGCCGCACCTGCACCTGGTTAGCTGGCCGGAAGAGGCGGGCCCTAGGCCCATATAAACCCTAGGGCAGGGACCAGGCAGGTCAGCTCCCTGCCAGCAGCCAAAGGGGAAGGAGCTTTCAGGAAGGAAGGGCCTAGAGATGCTACAGCCATCGGATATGCTACACTTAGGGCTAATGGGGCACCAGCAGCCCATAAGGCACCCTTGCTTACTAGGCACCCAGTATTAGAGAAGAAGTTTTACTCTTAAATGGGCAGAGCATGCCCTGAACTTTGTGTTACATTATAGCCCAGGGGCTCATGTTTAATTGCTGTTGTTTGTTTGCTGTCTGATAACACAGGTGGTTTGGGTGAGAATACGTGGAGAAGAAGGAGGCCTCATTGGGGACCCACTACAGTGTGGGGACCCCAGCACCAGTGAGGCTCAGAGATGAGGGCTGTGGAGAGCCCAGAGAGGACAATGGGGCCAAATCACAGCAAGGCCTAGACAAGACAACATTGGTGTCATCTGCGAGGCTTGGGGTGTGGTAAAGGGTCGGTTGGAGCCACACATATAGCCCATAAGGCTGAGAGACTCGGGAACCATCCACCATAACGTGGGATGCCAAGGGGTGTATGAATCACAGGGCTCAATAAGATCTAGCCAGACTGTGTCTAAACCCAAAGACCAAGGTCAGCCTCCCTATATCAATTATACCAACAAGATGTGGCGGGAGAGATGGAGGGTGCCTGTAGGGCAAGACTAGCATGGTTAAGGAGCCTAGGGGTAACACGGCCACCCCTAGGGACCCCACCTTGCTACAGTGAATTTTCTCCTTTAATGGACAAAATCACAGGTTGTCTCTTAAAGGAGAAAAACATGGGGAAACTATGGGATTTCACTTTCAGGCTGGCAGAGTCCCATCCTGCAAGAGGCTGCTTGGGACTGAGTGGAGCAATGAGGCAAGGGGCATCATGCACATGTGCATGTGTACAGGCACATTGCAGCCAGGCAGCTCCTTCCAGGTAAGTGTGTGGGGGCGGGCGGGTGGCAAGGAGAGCGCAGGCAGAGTGGGGGAGGAGCATGTGCTCCCAGAGATTTCTGCACCCACAGCAGGGCATGGAACAGCTCCAGAAAGGCTGCCTCAGTTGCCCAGCAGGATGACCCAGGGCAGGACAAAGCACTGCACCACCATAACCACCAAGCTGGGGTGCCCCCTGCCCGCTCGGCAGCAGCAGGGGCACAACTCCATGCCACTGCGGCACTCCCTCCAGTGCCAGGTCTGCCTGCTGAATAGCGGAGGCAGCTTCTGCCTGGAGCTGGTTTGGCCTGGCTGCAGCCCCATGACTTGTTGTGAGCACAGAAGTCTTGCAGGGCATGTGCCCTACCTGCTGCATCACTTTGCCCCCTGCCCCTCTCCACTGAGTTGCCTGTGCCCCCCCCCCCCCCCTTTCCCCCCCCCCCACTCCCATTCTCTCTTTCCCACACACCCATTCCCTTTCTCATATGTGAGGTGCCTGGAGAGGTGGGGACAGTGGTTGGGAGTGAGGGGCACTAGTAGGACAGGGAGGGGGGTGTGGTTCAGAGTGAGCGGCACTAGCAGGTCGAGGGGCTGTGGGTCAGGAGTAAGGGACACCAGCAGGGCTGGGGTGGCTGTGGGTTGGGAACGAGCACAAGCAGGGCCAGAGGCTGTGGGCTCAGGAGTGAGGGGAACCCGCATGGCCGGAGGGCTATGGCTCAGGAGTGAGGGGCACTAGCAGGGCTGATGGGCTGTGGCTTGTGAGTTAAGGACAACGGCATGAGCAGTGGCAACTTACAAGCCTATCAGGGCTGCTCAGCAGCACAAAGCAGCAGAGGACAACATCTGCTGCTGGACCTGCATCCTGGTGGGCAAAAGTGGCAGTGGAAGCTCTGATATTTTCCATGGAAAAAGTACCCAAAAATCAAAGACAAAAACATATAGGTATTTAGAATTTCTTGTGTTTATAATGATGAAGGCATTGGTAGGCTTCCAAATGGCTTTAAAACTTTAAATATAACAACAAAACATTGTGTTCAACTGACATGTGAACATGATGGGTTTCAACACTGACAAGTACAAGGTGCTGCACCTGGGGAGGAAGAACCAGCAGCATACCTGCAGGCTAGGGCACTCCCTTCTTGTCAGTGCAGAGGCAGAAAAGGATCTTGGAGTCATTATTGATGCCAAAATGAACATGGGCCGACTGTGTGGGGACACGGGCAGGAAGACCAACCGTACCTTGTCATGCATCCACAGATGCATCTCAAGCAGGTCCAAGGAGGTGATCCTCCCCCTCTATGCAACACTGGTCAGGCCGCAGTTGGAGTACTGTGTCCAGTTCTGGGCACCGCACTTCAGAAGGGATGTGGACAGCATTGAGAGGGTCGAGGAGGGCCACCTGCATGATCAGGGGTCAGCAGGGCAGGCCCTACGAGGAGAGGTTGAGGGACCTGAACCTTTTCAGCCTCCACAAGAGAAGGCTGAGAGGGGATCTAGTGGCCATTTACAAACTGGTCAGGGGGGACTAACAGGCACTGGGGGAGTCCCTGTTCCCCCGAGCACTACCAGGAGTGACAAGAAATAACGGTCACAAGCTGGCAGAGGGTAGATTCAGGCTAGATATCAGGAGGCATTACTTCACAGTCAGGGCGGCTAGGATCTGGAACCAACTTCCAAGAGAAGTGGTGCTGGCTCCTACCCTGGGGGGCTTTAAGAAGAGGCTAGATGAAAACCTTGCTGGGGTCGTTTGACCCCAGTACTCTTTCCTGCCATGGCAGGGGGTCAGACTTGATGATCTGCTCAGATCCCTTCCGACCTTACCAACTATGAAACTATGACACATATATTAGTGGCATTTCATTTTAATCATGGAAAAACACAGATTTTGGGGGGGCTTAATCAGAGAATTTGCAATTTTTTAACAGAGAAATCCAGGTCTCCTGCTCATGAGCTGCACTCTTCGTCATTATTTGGATTGAATAATTTTTTTTAAGTAGATTTAAATTATTGTGCAGATTACATTAGTATCTTATAGTTAATGAAAAATTAATTTCACTTCATTCAGCTCAGCAATAATATATAGCTATATCAACTTTATTACTTTAGATGTCTTTAATGCATGAGAGCTTCAGCTGATGTAGACTAGCATAGCTTGGAGCATCAGGCTCAATATAGTCAACAATTAAGGATGACTAATAAAGGAAATTTTAAAATGCCAATTGTTTAATTCTGTCGGTTATTACTGATATATAAAGAAGGCAGGCATATCATTATTTGGCTTGCTTTGTTGGTGCATTTTTTTCTTGGACTTGGAAATATCAGGAATATAAGATTTAGATCTTCCCTGTTTGTGTTGTAGGCATATTGGGAGCTTTCACAAAGTGTAATTGGTATTGAATCTTTAACTGAGCTGGGGTTTCTATCAAATGATTATCAGCTGCTGAAGAAAAATGAACATTAAAACAAACAGACACTTTTAAATAAGCTGATTAAAAATCCTTCCGTTCTCCAATTCCTCAGGTGTTATAGTTACTAGTAACATCAGACAATTACACTGTTTACTAGTTATGTATGGGGTTAAGAACAACAGACCATCTCTATCATTTAAAAAGCACCCTAGTCCTATGTGAAAGGCAAGTCCATAAGCCTTGTCCTGGTCTCCAGTCTTCCAGAGAAAACACTGTCTCAAAGTCTAATGTGAAAAAGAAAAAAATCTTTCTTTCAATGTGCCCAAATCTCCACTGCTCATATGCACACATGAAAATGGTGCAAAAATGGCAGACACCCAATTAGTTTACCTACACATGCCACCTTGTGGACATACTCTTTATACAGTTTTGTTATTTACTTTTGTAAATAAATCCCCAGTGTGCCACTTCATGCCATGCTGTGAAAAGACATCATTCATTGCTTCAGTCACCATCGATCCAGTTTTAGTGTGATGCAAAGAAACATCACTTAAAGAGGGAGAAAAAGAAGAACAAGTTTTCAGTTTTGTTTCCTTCTATTTCTTAAATAAGTATTAACTGTCAAATACAGCTAATGAACTTTAAAAAATATTCCCTGGCTTCTTAAATGGCAAAGAGGAAAGCTTCCTCACAGCCATCTGCTGGGAAGAGCAGTCGGCCAGGTCTGATCACTCCCGTAGGTTCCTAGTCGAGTTACAGGACCTCCATCTAACCCAGGAGGTGCACAGTCCCACCAGGGGAAATGTCTTGTTGGACCTGGTCCTGGCCACAGGCGATGACCTGGTGAGGGGACTGCAGGTGCTCGACTACTTGGGCGATAGCAATCATTGCCTGCTGGAATTTTCCAGCCAGCGCAGGGTGTCAAAGGCCTGCAGCAAGGCAGCAGCTCTGGACTTCAGGAGGGCGGATTTCAATGAGGTAAGGAGACTAGTCGAGGAGGCACTGAGGTCCCGGAGCGGGGGGGAGTTGGGAGTCCAAGAAGAGTGGTCGTTCCTTAAGGAGACAATCCTCCAAGCCCAAAGGGTGACAATCCCTACATGGATCAACAGGGGCAAGAGTGCTCAAAAGCCCCCATGGCTTACCAAAAGCATCCATGAATGTCTCAAAGCCAAAAAGGAGATGCACACCCAATGGAAGGGAGGAGCCATCACCAAGGAGGATTAGACCTTCTTGGCTTGAGATTGTAGGGGGGCTGTTAGGAAGTCTAAGGCAGAGATGGAACTGGGACTAGCGACCCGGATCAAAGATAACAAGAAGTCTGTTTTTTAAATACATAGGGGGTAAAAAGAAGGTACCAAGTAATGTGGGGCCTCTGCAGGACATGCTTGGTAATCTGGTGGTTGCACCAGATGATAAAGCTAATCTCTAACAGATTCTTTGCTTCCATTTTTCTGAGCAGGGACCAGGTCATCCCGCACACTGGCATTCCGGACAGACCCAGGGGAGGCGCAACCAGACTTAGAGTCAGTGAGGACACAGTCAGGGAACTTCTGAAAGGACTGGACGTGTTCAAATCAGCAGGTCCTGATGATCTCCACCCCAGAGTGCTTAGGGAATTGGAAGAGGTCATTGCAGGACCCCTGGCACAGCTTTACGAGCACTTGTGGTGCTCTGGTGATGTGCCAGAGGACTGGAAAAGGGCCAATGTGGTCCCCATTTTCAAAAAAGGGAGGAAAGAGGACCCAGGAAACTGTAGGCCCATTAGTCTTACTTCAGTCCTAGGGAAGCTCCTTGAGAAAAATATCCAGGAGCACATCTGCAAGGGGCCAGCAGGGGAGATTATGTTTAGGGGCAATCAACATGGGTTCATTCGAGGCAGGTCCTTGCAAATCAACCTGGTTGCCTTCTATGACCAGGTCACAAAAGCCTTGGATGCACGTGTCGTGGTGGACGTAGTCTTTTTGGACTTTAGGAAGGCCTTTGACACTGTCTCTCACCCCATCCTCATTAAAAAATTAGGCAACTGTGGTGTCGATGCTTACACAGTCAGATGGGTCACAAATTGGCTGGAGAGCCACACCCAGAGAGTGGTGGTGGATGGGTCATTTTTGACCTGGAGGGATGTGGGCAGTGGGGTTGTGTCGTGGTGGACGTAGTCTTTTTGGACTTTAGGAAGGCCTTTGACACTGTCTCTCACCCCATCCTCATTAAAAAATTAGGCAACTGTGGTGTCGATGCTTACACAGTCAGATGGGTCACAAATTGGCTGGAGAGCCACACCCAGAGAGTGGTGGTGGATGGGTCATTTTTGACCTGGAGGGATGTGGGCAGTGGGGTTCCCCAGGGCTTGGTCCTAGGGCCTGCACCGTTCAATATCTTCATAGGCGATTTGGACAATGGGGTGAAAAGCACCTTGTTCAAGTTTGCAGATGACACTAAGATGTGGGGAGAAGTGAGCATGCTAGAAGAGAGGGACAGGCTACAACTAGATCTGGACAGGTTACAGAGGTGGGCAGATGAGAATAGGATGGGTTTCAACACTGACAAGTGCAAGGTGTTGCACCTGAGGAGGAAGAACCAGCAGCATACCTACAGGCTGGGGAACTCCTTTCTCACCAGCACAGAGGCAGAAAAGGATCTTGGTGTCACTATTGATTCCAAGATGAACATGGGCTGCCAATGTGGGGACGCGGTCAGGAAGGTTAACCATACTTTGTCATGCATCCATAGATGCATCACGAGCAGGTCGAAGGAGGTGATCCACCCCCGCTATGTGACATTGGTCAGGCCACAGTTGGAGTACTACATCCAGTTCTGGGTGCTGCACTTCAGGAGGGATCTGGGCAGCATCGAGAGGGTCCAGAGGAGGGCCACTTGCATGATCAGGGGGCAGCAGGGCGGGCCCTATGAGGACAGGCTACGGGACCTGAACCTGTTCAGCCTCCACAAGCGAAGGCTGAGGGGGAATCTGGTGGCCGCCTATAAACTTGCCAAGGGGGACCAGCAGGCAATGGGAGAGTCTCCATTCCCCCGAACACTACCAGGGGTAACAAGGAACAACGGCCATAAGTTGACTGAGAGTAGATTCAGGCTAGACATCAGGAGGCGCTACTTCACTGTCAGGACGGCTAGGAGCTGGAACCAACTTCCAAGGGAAGTGGTGATTGCCTCTACCCTGGGAGTCTTCAAAAGAAGGCTAGACAGCCACCTAGCCAGGGTCATTTACCCCAGCATCCTTTCCTGCCCATGGCAGGGGGTCAGACTTGATGATCTGCTTAGGTCCCTTCTGACCCTACCAACTATGAAACTATGTAAATGTCATCTAAATTGTGGCTCCGTGACTCTGCAGAGAGAGCGTCACCAGTGAACTTGACATCACAGAGAGTATGCAGGAAAGAGGCAAGGAACTGGCAGAATCCAGCTCTATGCATCCCATCAGGTTGGACTGGTGATTTTAAATAACTTTGATTTCCATCATTTTTAATCAGGATTTACATCAACAAGCTGGGAGGTGAGTTCATTTGTAGAAACTCAATTCCCACCCCTGAAGTTGAAGTATTTTAAGGAATTTTGGGGTTACAATGTTTCCTTTTATGGGAAGATTCTCTTGCTTGAGGTACAGCAACCATAGCATTAGTGACTTTTGTCACTTTCATCCCTGTCATTCCTTAATTCCATTAAGGCAGGGATCAAACATATTTAAACAATTTTGGGCTGTGCAAAATGGGTGTGTTTCAATTCAGTTTCAGATTTGGCTATTTCGGAGGATAGTGATTTGTTTCGGTGTTTCGGATCACTGTCCTGTTTTGTTTTGGACAAATCTGTTTCTCCGAATCCAGTCCGCCAAATCTGTTTTGAACGGTCTGCAAAGAAAGCTTTGCACAGCCCTACCCAGCTAGCTGGGGCTTCGGGCTGTGGGCTTGGGCCCCCAGCGAGGAGCAGGATGGGGATGTGGCTGGCTTGTCACGGGAGGGTGGGGCCACTGCCCTCCATGCAGATGAGGAGCTCCCCACACGGATCTCTGATCGCTGTCATGCTGGGTCATGGGGCAGGGAAGCAGCATAGAGTGGTGAGCAAGCCTGCTGGTCCCTGCCACGTGACTCAGCTCTGCAGGCAGCAGAGATCCAGGCTGCATGGGGCAGGCAGTGGTAGGGAGGAGACCCCAGCATGGATCTCTGGTTCCTGCAGGGCCAGGTCGCACAGAAGGGATTCTCCAGCTCCTTGTTCTATTCCCCAGCCCCCAGTTTGATTCCCCAGTTCTTCTGTGCACCGGGTTTCAGCAGGCTGCTGCTGCAGCCTGGGGCCACCACTACCTGCTACTATGGCTAGTGGAGAGGTCTGAGCTCCATGAGGGGGCATAAGGGAGATCCCCACACCACCCCATCCTCCCTCACGCTCCAAAAACCCCACATACCCACACCCTGCGCAAGCAAAATCCATGCTCCCACTGCCCCACAGGCCATGGGCCCTGGACTCTGCAATCTTGCCAGCCCCACACTCCATGCTCTCACCCAGCTGTAGCTTCCCTACCTGCTGCCCACCTCAAGCACTGCAGCAGGGACATGAAGAGGAGCTGCTGGAGGCCGGAGAACCTGAGCAGGTCCACCAATGGCAGCAGCACCCCCACTACGAAGCTATGTCAGAGCTGGGGCCTTCCCACACACTAGGATGGGAACAAAATGTGCAGGCTGGTTGGGGTACAATTTATTGGTGGG